GTGGAATCTTTTACTAATTAAGCATTTTCCCTCCTGTGAGAAAAGCTTTTATAACAGCACTTTCTAATGATTAAAAGTGTAAATCTGGGTCACTAAACACCAACAGTCGGGAAAAGCAGCAACATGCAGCAGAGTGACAGTTCAACAAATTTTAAGTTCAAATGCAGTTCAGCTTATCGTGACACAGCAGGCGGAGCTTCATTCCATTAGCAGGCTGTTAAAGGATGCAAAAACTGCGCACTCTATGCAGATTATGGTTTTATTTTATTTTTAGCAGAAATAATCCTGCTGATAAAACGAAAAATTATAACGGGTGTTTCAAATCTTTTCCATAAAAGTTGGGACGACAGAGCATGAATAAGCATAAAAACCTTAATCCTACTTAATATAGGGCAAAAGATAAATAGATTTTGCCCCCCATCTTTTGTGAAACATAATGGCAATAAAACTGAAAATGCTTAATTCTGAATCTAAAGTTCAATTTGGACATGAAGCTCAAAAATCGAAACTATTTGATTTGTAGAAAACTTAACAGAAAGACCTAACAATCCCACTCACACACACACACACACACCTGCTCAGTACACTAATGGCTCCAATATCTTCATAATGTAATGGCTTTACTGAAAATGCAGAGCATCAACAATCACACTTTAAAGCCATCTGTGAAAGCTGCTATGGCTCTTAAAGAGAAAATAGACAAAAAAAGCAGTTATTCTGTTTCCCATCTTCAAATGAAAGATGAAACAATTACTGTATAATACAACACACAAAGTAGATATACATGAGATAATTAGCAAAAACATCCATAGGCTGACATATAAACTTAAAAAAATCATTTCTGTCACAGAGAGAACTGAATAAAAAATCTTTAAATAATAATCTGAAACTGAAAAGTTTTGCAAAATTCAAACCTTTAATTTAAGATTTTTTTTCTATAAAGTTACTTGTGCACAGTTATTAGTAGTCCAACAACTAAGGTCTTCTAGTAAACTATAACTTCCTGTTATCTCAGAAGAAAGATATGACATAACACAGAGGCTCAATTATTGTAGGCACTGGCCACTAGCAGGACCATGATCCATGCTTATTTTGCCAGAACGCAGAGTGAGCAGGATGGCAGGATAGTGTCATTAGATAGTGACACCATCTAATGTTAGCTACTTTATCTGGATATAAAGTAGATGATGCCGTGAAACGACTTTCTGTCCTGTAGTCGCAAATGAAACCAGCAAACATTTGGAGTTTACTAGTTTCAGCTGAAACTTTTTGCCTCATCGATGATTGAGAAGAAATACTCCAGGTGGGTTTGGAGTAAAACTAAAGACAAAAATATGAAAATCACTTCATTTCAGCATGTTGGATGATCTTTGATGCTGTGGGACCAATTCTCCTCTAAGAGCCCCAAGAATCTTGTTAGAGTACATGGCCAGAGCATTTTAAATAAAAAAAATCTGTTTCACTCTGTCAGTACAGTATTTCTTCTATCAATCAATTCAACATCCTTTTATTCATCTTTACCAGGGTGTGCCAACATCTGGACGACCAATTAGGGACATTAGTCAAACCAAGTAACATGACATCCTGCTGCATAATACATCAACATTTTTACTAAATTAAGTCCAACCCTAAGAAAATGATTTGCATAAGAGAAATGTCCGATAGAGCGCTTCATTGTCTGGGGAGAAGTATAATGATGGCACCATCTGTAGTCTAGTACTGGAGCTTTCCAAATCCGAAAGGACACTACAATAAGTCACAGGGAGAAAATTTTGAAAGGTTAGTACAGGATAAATGGGTCAGAGCAAAAACAGACTAGATAAATTAGGGGCATAAATTACACATCAGGTAATTTCAGTGAGACCTAGTTTAAACACTGGGTTTGCTGGTTCATGCCTGTAAAAATTCTTCAGCATATCTGTCATTTGCTGACACGGCGGTCCAGCAGTTGGCAACGTTTCAGCTCATAACAAGCAGGTTCTGGGAGTGACCCAGCTGGCTGGCTTTAGCCTTATTGTGAGGGTTTAAATCCCCTCAGTCGGGGAGTTGGTTTTAATAACATCTTAACTTTTTCTTATAATGAAGGTAAATAAGGTATTATGGTTTTAATTCTGCAAATACGCTCACGATTATCAAAAGATGAAGCCGATAAGATTTAGTACCACATAATTTCAATACCTGCAATGATGTGTAATTTTATACCTTTAGCAGGTATAATTGATGAACAGTATGTCACTTCTCATGTCCATGTCTCTCGCAACCCATCCATGTGTCAGTATGTGTTCTGTGTCGAGTGTGAGAACTGAGCAGTGTGCAGAGCAGCCCTGGGGGAGGTGAAGCTTCATTCAGGAACCTCTATGGGTGCCACAAAGCTGCATTCATGCAGCTGAATAGCTGTTTTCTACAACGAGGCACTAGCCATCCCAACTCCATTGGAAAGCCTCTATGAGTTACCACTCTCTCTGCCTTGGTATGCATAGCCTTATCCTGCAAAAATCACAAATGCTTGGATTACCAAAGGCTACAGAACACACTTGCATGAAAACAGTGATACCAGTTTCCAAGTATGAGTTCTTCCAGGATTTGTTTGATCCCAATATTAAAGCCGATGGTAAAGACTTCCTGATGTCTTCTCTGTTGTGTACCTATTTAAGCTATTGATGTTTATAAGAAACAATAATGAAAACAAATGAGGAAAAAATCTGCTATAATTTCCATATGATATGGAGCAAATTGTAATCAAAGAAAAACTGAAAAACTTCAAACATCACTTTAAAAATTAGCCAATAAATGATCACAAATTCTTACAGCAGAAATTATTTTAGTAAAAATGAAGTTTAAGCTGATGTAAAAGAGTAGATACATAGAGTATGATCAGAAAACTAAGGCTAAAGTCAAAGATGGAGATGGAAGGAATAACGTCTCATTCAGATTCAGCTAATGTTTGTTTCCAATTAACGGAGAGCTGGAGTCATGATTCCCCACATTGACTTCCTGTCAGCAGAGTCCTGCTTCCTCCCACAGCCCATACTGGTGTAGAGTTTCCCCCTAATCGGTCAATTGGAACGGTCCGAGCAGCTGTCAATCGATCGCTCTGACCTCCAGGGTTTGGAGAGGTTGGAGGTCTGTCACCTTATTTGAAACACTTATGCAAATTTTGTTGGACTCTCTAAGTTCACATGAGTTTTCAGATGGGGTTTTGGCTGCATGGGTGATCCCAATGAATGAATAAATGTTTTAATGCGTTAAAAACTGTTTTTTAGGCATTCAAAAGTCCTTATGCAAGACTGAATGCTGAGAAATTGCAGTTTTAGGGCACTTTGTAAGCCTGAGGAACTGTGGAAAGACCACCAGACATTTTAGACACAACAACACTTCTAGTTCAAAACATCATCAAGAGGAAAAAAAATGCAATTACGTGAGGATTCACGTAATTGCATGTTAAAGTCAGTAATTTGGACTGTTGCAATATATAATGACTAGACTCTTTATTAAGCAGACCTAATAAATCTGAACACAAGTAATTATTCACCCAATCACATGCCGGCAACTCAATTACATAGGTATCAAGACGCAAAAAGGCAACTTGAAGAAATTGAAAGTGATCAATAGAATGGGGGGGTGATCAATAGAAGTGACTTGGCATGGTTGTTTGTGCCAGATGGACTGGTCTGCATACATCACTGCTGATCAGATGGGATTTCTACTCAGAACAATCTCCAGGGTTCACAGAGAATGGCCCCCCAAAAAAGAGGCCATGTGTAGAGAGCAGCAGTTGTGTGAATGAAAATTTCCTGCTGTTAGAGAAAAATTGGTAGACTGCTTCAAGAATACAGAAGCTCAAATAAACATTTCTTACAACCAAGTTATGCAGAATGACATAGAGCTCAAACTACCTCAAACTGGCTTCTTAAGTTCACTGTGGCCCAGTTCTCACCTATGGGGTGTTATGGAATTGGAGATTTACATCAAGAGTAACACATCTATTTGTAATGCTTTCATATAAGTCTGGAAAATAACTTTTGAACAATGTTTCCAAAAACTTGATTGATCATAAATAATTAAGTCAGTTCCAAAGGAAATACAAACAATCCAAACAAATTTTATCAAGGAGTTCCTGATAAAACAGACAGAGTGTGCATATGAAGGAAATGTCCAAAAGACAATGGTGAAAACACCTTTGACAACCGAGGAGTAAGATTTTATCATCCAAAGATATTCCTGACTTATTTAAAATGTAGGACCATTTAAAACAGACCAAAACATTTTTGTTTTGTTGTTGTTTTTTATTAAATAGTTCAAATAACAAAACTACTTTAGGTGCAATTCATATATTGAGTTATGACCACAGAATAATAAAATCATTCAAAAAAATTACATAAGTGTATGGAAGTGACTGCTTTCAAGGACTATGTACATTACTTCATGTGAGAGAATAATAGACAAGGCAGAGAGAATAACTGAACTGTGCATAAGTGGCTAATGGTTCCTAATAAAGTCTTCTGAAACAATTAACTGTGATTCCACCACAGCACAATAAACTTGGATAGATCCCTGCTGATTCACCCTGGCCACAGATCACTGTACAGTCCACTGGTCCTATCACTCTTTCTTTTCCATCAAGTTTTACTGGATATTAAAGCCTATATCAGGCTTTCTGGGGTCTATAAATTGGTCTGTCTCCTGCTGCAGCTCTTTAAGACAGATAGCCCACTGTAAGATTCTTGCATCACCTCTTGTAGCAGACCTTGAAATCAAAAGTACGGGAATCGAAAGTACCAGAGCTACTGCATTCTGAATATGCAGATTTTTTCTTTAAATACGAAAGAAATTAAAGTTAGGACAGGGGTTATGCAAGATCTTCAGCCATCATTATTAAAGAGTCAGGATTGGAAACACTTGACAGTTCAGCATGACAGTCCTCTGTGTGTAACTGATGCTTACAAAATAAAGAGCCACATTGATAGAGAACTGTGTTTTTGTTTGGTTTTTTTACTCACCAACACCGATTTTCTCGTCTTCCGTGGGAGTCCACATGATGTCCCTCTGGAAACAGAGCAAAATCCCCAACAAAGTCTCGTCACCCGAGGCGTCGCTTCATAGAAATCCCGCTGTGATTTCACCCAGAGAGGGCAAGGGAACCAGGAGAGCCGCGGAGAGGAAAAGTTTACCTCAGGAAGATGGAAGGCAAAGAAAAAAATGAATTCTTTAGGTTCTTGAAGTTGAAGGTGTCTCAGTTGTTTTGACAGCGACCAGCAGGGATGTTTTGTCCCGTCAGGTTTGGCGCATTGTGTTTGTCCATCTCTGCTGAAGTACAGCGACCAGGCAAAGAAATCTGATAAACAGGCGTCACTGCGAAGGGAATCTGTGGGCTACTACTTATACACCGGTCTGAACGCTGGTCAGACAGGTGGGGGTGCCTGAAGAGAGGAAAGCACATACAGACCCTGACTGAAACTAAAAATAGCGCAAATTTTACCAGGGAAAATGTTTTTGTTGATGGTTTTGGTCAAGGCTCATAGAACTCCTCTTCTCGTTCGCAGCATCCGAGTTTCCATGCATTGCATGTTTTTAAATCACACGCATGCGCTGACGAGTTGCAACTACTTAACTTGTCCTATCGCAGACGGAGAGGGAATAAAAAGAAAGAACTGCGTTCCCGTCTGGGCTCCGTCTGTTTCAGCGGCTCGTGAAAGAGAAGGAGCCCGTGTTGGAGTGCGTTACACGGTCCAGAGAGGGAGAGTTTAATGTTGGAGCGGGCGACTGTTTGTCTGCTGCAGCAACCGATCATTAAAGGTTTTCTTGTAGTGACGCGACACGAGCTAAATTGTCACATAACATCACGCAGGTGAAAACTGCTCATCTATCCGGGAGACGGCTCGGAAAGCGCAGGACCTAAATGTGAGCTGTGGGCACATAGTAGAGCGCGCTACGTGAGTTGAAAACATATTAAAATATGTTTTAATATTCAAGTGTATGACGCACGAGCGACAGAAGCAGTGACTTTAAAGACTTACTGTGTAATAAAGTGACACGACAGAGTTCTTGTTGTTTCAAGCGAGCTATTTTCAGTGGATATTGACAAATATGTGTGATCATATCGCTGTTGTGGCCCATTGAAAGTCTCCACGAATAGTTTTGTAATTGCGCCACCGTGTGGATGTTCCTGAGCAGAGACACCGACATCTCTGTACGGAATTATTGTAAAACTAGTGGACAGACCAAAAGAGTTATTCTGAGTAGTTAATATTGGTGATTTTGGCTTGCAGATAACCCAAAATTTCAGTTTTCAGAAAATGTTACATAAGATCAATAATAAAAAGTAGTACATATAACAAAGAAATGTTAAGACCTCGGCAATGATAGGGACCGACTGCTGACTTTTGTTATCCATCACACTCCCACTGAATGCTAAACACAAATACTCACACGAACAAACATTATGCAAGACTTACCATAAGTGAGGATCGTCTGTCAGAACAAACACTAACTCTCACCTGTTATCCTCCTTTATGGTTTTCATAAACTGTCTTGCATCTGCAAACACAAAAGGGGAACTCCAAAAAGAACATTTTACGTGGTGATATCTCCAAGTCAGTGATGATTTAAAAAGAAAGAAGAACAAAAAAGTCACTATATCCCAAACAGAGGACAATAGTCTAACTTCTACATTCAGCCAATTTGACTAGTGTGACTACCAGTCAACAAAGGCTATGTATTTATTTTTCTGATTAGGTCTAACTATAACTTACTCATCAAAATATGCTTATTTTGAGAAACACTTTTACACTAGTCACTAATAGAATCAATAAATAATTTGCAATCACACTAATCTTAAGTGAATACATAAAGAATAACTCTAAAAACCAGAACATGAAACTAAAACTACTAAAACAGAGATTTGTAAGGGAACTGGGTAACGTTGGTTGATTAAATAAAGATAACCCAGAAAAACAAAATAATGTGTTTATTTAATAAAAAAAAAATCTCTTTAAAAGGCCATGTTTGGTATGTATTCATAGGCATTCAAACAAACACTCTTGATTAGAACCATTATTGCATCTGTATTTAAAAACATGAGTTGGTTCTTTTACCATTTTCAACCAAGGGTTGCAGATCCTTGCTCTCAGGGAATAGGCTTTGAGTAAAAATAAGCTATGATTGTTTCAATACCAACGCTGAAAAAAACTGCACTTAATTTGCGGTTTCCATTTCTCTATTTTTGCATGTTTGCAGCTAACCTTTAACACAAACTTTGATCCACCTCACATCCCTCGTCACATCAACATAGTTCTAACCAGATGATGCACTGGTGAACTGATAATGAAAGCACATTAATCATTTTACCTGCACTTCAATAAAACTACATTTTTATTTGACATGTCAAAATTTTCTTTTCTGTATCTATAAAATTGTGTTAATAAAAAAACATGTAGTCATATGCTGCTTACTTAACCCTAGTAAACATTCAAATAAGTGAGTAATCACAAAGTAAAGATTCCAACACATTTTCCAGAAAAATGTTTCCCATCATTCATCAGGTGATCCTACATATAGGAAAGTGATTGCAAACGTGTATTACAAAGGTTGGATTTATTATGGGCAAAAAATAAATAATAAATGCCTCACCACAATGATCATAAATTTAGACCATGCCAGTATAACAATAAGTTGCATAGAATAGTTTTTAGTTTACAAAGAACCAAACAATAGATGTAAATACACATATACATCCAACTAATTTACAGATTTTTATCAATTAGAAACAATTATACAGACTCTAATTTGGATCTAATTTTTCAAACCACACTTTAAATCATCAATTCAAGTCACCAGTGATAAAAATGCACTGAGGTATCGCTGTACTGTACATTCATTCAGTCAGAAACCAGACTTAAAATATATATACATATATAGAGAGAAGACCAGAATTGCCATTGGCTATCTGCAGCTGTGAATCAGAAAAAAATTGTCCCAATTAATGAAGATCGTGAAAATATTGATAAAAACAAAATAATCCAGAATCCTCCCATGTTATTGCTAATTGTTTTATGCAGTTTCACAAGTTGTACACAACAGATTGAAAAGAGTACAAAAGGTTGCAAGGATTTGCATATTTTAAATCACATTATCATCATATGCTGGCTTAAATATGTGTAAACTACTGGCACTCTTCCAGACCCGTAGTCCGACAGTTTTTGTACTTTTTATCCCTCCCCACAAAAGATGAATTGAAAGAATGGGTATAAAAGTAAAAAGATTGTTTAATCTGGAAAACAGACTGTCAAGTAAAACTATATGAACACAACTCCAAGTGAAGTCAACCAGGCTCAAATCAAATGATAACTGACAGTAACATTGTTTTAAAGTGAAATCCTGAAAGGAAACATTTGAATTATTTGACCATTTTTTTCAGTCTTTACAAGTTGAATGTGTAAAAGGCTGTAAAGTTGTTTTGGGTTTTTTTGTTGTTTTTTTTGCCAGCAATGTTATCTTCTGATAATATCAAAAATAATTTTGGCTCATACATAACAAAACAGACATTCTGCTGTAGACAATACTATCACATATGTGACCTCAAAACATTTTTTGTTCAAATTAAATATATAAAAAACATTTGCAGACTTGTAGTCATCTAACCAGCTTGATTTTTTTTACACTCATATGCTTATTGCTTCCAGTTACCTGAGGGGTATGAGAGAAAAAAGCAAAAACAAAATAGAAAACAGCATAATTTTTGCTTGAATGTAAAATTCAACAAAGAAACACCAAAATAAATAATCAATTTTTAAAAAAATTCTAAGCCTAGCCGTGGAAAACCTACAAAACAATAAAACACCAACTTAAAATTAAACAGTATTTAAAAAACAATAAATTGTGAAATGTACTGGGTTAGAAAATATTTTTGTCAACTCAAGTGTGCGATGTACTGCCATCTGGTGGAGAAATTGGCTTTCTGAAACTCGTTTTCTAATTGTTAAAATAAATAACAGAAATGTGGTAGAGGTAATATTTGGTTTCTGAGTGAGTTCACCATCAAGGAAAAGTCTACGGTAATTACATATTTTTAACCATTAGATTACCATAAGGATCAATGCTGGCTCTTGATCATCAAAATTATTTAGAGAGAAACTTAATTTACCTTTCTCTAACAAATGTTTTTTCTGAGTTGCATTCTGTTGCGTGACAAACATTAGCTTTCACATTTTTGGGATCCTACCGCTTTAAAATTTCGGATTTTTGCTCACATGAAAACATTTTCTACATAGACAGAGGACATGAAAGCGCTTCAAATTATTTTTGTTGATGTTTTGAATAAAACATTGGCAAACATCCAAGTGAGGCATATCGTTGAGAAAATAAGCTTATTATAAGATTATTATTGTATCAGCTGATGACATCAGGATCAACATGTTTTGTTTCCTGGCAAATCAGGAAGTTTCTACAGGTCATTTTTAATAATAAAAAAAATTCTCTTCAGTTGCTATTCAATAAAGCAATGCTTAAATCAAATCGATGAAAAATATCAATTTCTCAAGAATCTTTTTTTTTGTAATTTATTCCCAATTTTGTACATTCTCCCCAGGCTCTCATTACTGGGTCTATTTGTGGTTTTAGAGGTGAAAAATGTATGTGCTCTCTCTTCAGCCAATGACAAAAGACATACATATATATTGCCAAATCTTTTCAAATCACTCCAGTAGGAACAAGAAATGGAAAATAAATGGCCAGTCAAGATCCTTTTATGAAAACTTTACATTTTTGCTACCATTTTTCTGGCATTTCCTCTAAGAGGGATTCACAGGGCGGAGCGTCTACTCTTACATCATTAAAACCATAAGTCAGGTAAGGATCCAAACATGTCGGGGTCGTCATCATCTGATTCTTCTCCAAACCCTGAAAAATTTTAACACAAAACAGGCAACATATGTGAGCATAATTCATTTAAAATTACAATTGAAAAAAAAAAGTTTAGAACAATAGATTTGGATTATTTTTATGGCTCACCAATCATTTCCTATGACAATTATTATGTCATAACAATACTCGAAATGGACCTTTTGAAATGTTACCAGCTATATATATATATATATATATATATATATATATATATATATATATATATATATATATATATATATATATATATATATATATATATATATATATTATTGCTATATATATATATATATATATATATTATTGCTATATATATATATATATATATATATATATATATATATATATATATATATATATATGGTCAATTTCATTCTCATAGTGGGTCTGTGCTATATAAACCAGTTGAAAGGAATACAATTTTTAAAAAGTGCATAATTAGGTGCCTGAATTGAAGTAAAGATCTCTTACCACATACATTTTATTTACATAGACTATAAATAAAACAAACAAATATATATATATATATATATATATATATATATATATATATATATATATATATATATATATATATAGCTGGTATTTGTAACTAATTTTTATAAAGCAGATGGGTTTATTAAATTTTAAATTAATTTGTCTTATACCTTTCACAAAGTCTAAAGTTCTT